GACCTCGCTGACGACAACAATATATATATATATATATATATATTTGACTACAAATTTATGCAATCTGAGAGGAGAGTACTACATAGTAGTTTCTGAGAACAACAGAGCAAGTAGCACTAATGAGACTATAATTAGAAGACCTTGCCATCAAAGATTTTGGTATCAAATGTACAAACTCTTAAATCAATGGTTCAGTGGTTAGCGTGTCTGACTACGGGTCCGAGGGTCGTTGTCGCAAAATTTCCCTCTACACTTTGAAACCGTGAGTACGTTATGAGAGTGACAGTCAAATACCGCTACTATATTAGACTAGCTCACGGGTTAGTGGTGGATACTATTGACTAACTTCCTTACTTGATACCAGAAACAGACAAACAGACTGAACCGAAGAAGTGCTGACGTCACATGAGAGCGTGTACTGAGGAACTGAATATTATGTAACAGTTCGCTGTCCTATATTAGTTAAGCAGCTTAATTATTATTAGAAACTCGTACTCTTAATAATTATTCTTTACTTACTAGGCTCTAGTTCAGTTGTATTGACAAAACATTAAAAATTAAAACTACTAAAATTATTAAAATATTGATTTCAAATGATTGATTCTATTAGTTTTTAAACAGGTACTGTATGCCCCACGGAAAGTACAGATAAAAAACTTCACTTTTTTGTGGAAGAAGATGTAAACTGTAAGAACCTGCCACATGACTGTGCCAGTTTTTATTACAAGGGAAACCGATTAAGTAGCGTATACAAAATTTGGCCTACGTTCCTTAATCATTCAATCAGCGTATTTTGTGATATGGATACTTCTGGTGGAGGATGGACTGTGAGTCGATATAGCCGTTTCTTATATTTTGATATTTCTATACGTTTTTAATGTAAATAATTTGTGAGCTTTGAGTTAGTCTACAGGTGATTGAAATCTGTTCGCCGTCATTGCAGTAGATCGATATAATATTTTTAAACGTGTATATTTTACTGATGAAAAAATAATCAAAGTGATAAATAAGTTTTGCGTAAGAAAAAAGTGAAAATAATGTCGCTCTTCAGTAAATTTCATCCACCGCTTCGATTATGTTTTCGCGAGTAAAATTTGTTATATAAATCTTGGACTATTTCGAAGTAACATTTATGTGACTTTTATCTATTTTAGTCAAGACAGTATAATCTTAAACCGATTTGGCTAACAATTACAGTACATCGTTTAAATGATTTAGTACTGACCTACAGTCAAAAATTATATTATATTTAATGAATGGTTGTTGTTTGTCAAATTTCGCGCAAATCTACTTGGAGCTATCTGCGCTAGCCGTTCCTAATTTTAAAACGATAGACTAGACTAGAGGGAAGGCAGCTAGCCAATGAACTCCACCCAAATCCAACTCGTGAGCTACTCTAATAGAATTGTGGGATTTGACTGTCAGTCTTATAATGCACCCAGGAACCCAAAGCTACTCGAGGACTACCAGCGCTTGCCTGCCCTAATTTTGAAGTGATGGGCTAGTGATAGTCAACATAAGCCACCTCCAGCCTTAGGCATACTCTTTTACCAACGAATAGTGGTACTGACTGTCACATTATAACGCCCCCATGGCTATAAGGGCAAACACGTTGGGTGCCGGATTTGCTCTCACAACCAAGCAGATTGTTAGTCGAGTGTCCTAACCACCAGGCCATCCATGCCAGTACCAAGTGCTATTCAGATCAGATAATATATTGTAAAATATTAAACTATTTTAGAAGGTTAATAGTTCACTTTGTCTTTTAATTACAACACTATATTAATTCTAATGAATATAGTTTGACCTATTAATTTACATTTCTAGCCGATAAAATTCTTGCTTGAAAACGAGAACAGCGAACAAATCTTTTAAGCACGAGGAAGTATGTTAGGTTACAATTGGTTTGAATTTCGCGCAAAGCTACACGAGAGCTATCTGCGCTAGCCGTCCCTAATTTAGCAGTGAAAGACTAGAAGGAAGGCAGCTAGTCATCACCACCAACCGCTAACCCTTGGGCTACTCTTTTACCAACGAATAGTGGGATTCACTGTAATACTATAATGTCCCCACGGCTGAAAAGGCGACCCTCAGATTGCAAGTTAAGCGCCCTAACCACCTGGCCATGCATTAGGTTACATGGACACTACTTAAGAAAATCGTTTATTTAAACTTAGTTATCACAATAACTTGTTATATTTCTATACACTTCATGGTTAAGAATTTATCTAATAATTATTACAATATTGTAAAATAACGAATTGTTTGTTTTTGTTATAAAGGTAATCCAAAGGCGTGGAGATTTTAAGGATAATGTCGAAGGATTCTATCAGCCCTGGGATTTATATAAAAAAGGATTTGGTAATTTGTCTGCTGAATTTTGGTTAGGTAGGTTTGAAAAATGTTATTTTTTTATATGAAAACCATATTTATACTTACATATATCTGCATGTGCCAATCGGTCAAGTTGATATAAAATGTGTTCAAAATTATGTGTTTATGTATATTTTGTAACTATCTTCTACCCCCCCCCCTCCATGAAAGATCTTATGACAACTGGTATACATCAAGTAAAAAAAAAAAGTTGCTCAAAGTATAAATGGAAAAAAAAGTGGCTTGTTTTCAACAGTCTTTCACAAATTGTTTAATGCAATATTTTGTAAGGGTCAACTAGTCGTTATTTAATATAAAAAATAGTTCATCTGAAATTTTAGTTTTGTTTACTTAAGAATTAGATAAGAAACAGTATAATGTATTATCTTAGTGTTATATTGAGAGTACAAGCACAATTATGAATAATGGAGATCTTAAAACTGCAGTTATTTGTTCATACAATTTATTTAACATTACACCTTAAAAATGCAACAGTATTATTCACCATTTTGTTCCTATAAAATGAGTAGACTTCCGGAAGTAAAAAAAAAATCCCAACGAAAATTAATAATTATTAAAATAGTTATGACGTTAGAAAAACACGTAGGTATAAGAAGTCTTGATAGAAATGAATATAAACCCTGTAACCCGAGTGCTTTCGAAAGGTGGACCTTTATTCTTCAGGGGCAAACTTGGAATAGTGATGTAATCGAATGAGTGATATATATAAAGGGAGTTTAGTGACGTCATGAAGGTCATCTGGTTTTCCAGGAAATGTTTAGTCTATTTCTCTATGTGCTGCTGTAAGCATTTCATTTCCGGTACAGTCTAGCCGATGGCGAAAGTGTATGTGAAAAGGTGTTTGGGATATTTTACTTTAGAAATGGATAAATATATGTATACTTAAAACTATACTTAAGTGTTTAAGTAAAATAAAGGTGACACCTGGAGACTGATTGAAAAATATATGTTATGCTAATAAATTTATAAAAACAGGTATGTAAAATTATCTTAAATAAATAGTAAGTTTTAGTAAATTCAGCGTTCACATTACATGATAGAAATATGCAAAGAATAAAAATTATTTTTCTGACAGAGATGAAACCAATGAACGGAGATCACTGATTTCAGGATCTAGACTAATTCCAAAAGGTTGAACAGTGTTTAGATTAGCAATCCAATAAGCTTCTTTTATTTCTATATCTGCTTTAGTTTTGCCGATGAGAGTAACATCATTAATGGAATGACCGGGTTGGTTAAAGTGTTGAGCAACAGGGAGATCTTTTTTCAGTGTTAATGGAAGATTTATGGTTGCTGAAACGTTTTCTTAGAGTTGTTTGTGTATGTCCTACATATTGGTAATTGCATTTTTTACACTGTATAAGATAAATGGTGTTTTTTTGTTTCACAAGTGATTTCTTTGGATATTTTAAAGTTTCTTTGATTGTGCTTGTCATAAAATGAGTCAGTGGTTTTTATGAACTTACAGGTTTGACAACGGGCTTTATTACATGGACGACAAACATTTTTACGTGGGATGTAATTCAATTTTGTGTGAACAAGGATATCGTTTAGAGTTCTGTTTTTTCGGAAGGAGACAATGGGAACCTCAAGAAATATCTGTTTAAGGCGATCGTTCAGTTGCAGGAGATGAAAATGTTCTTTCAGAATTCGTGAAACGTTTCTGAGTTTAAACTGATAAGTAATAAGAATAAGAATTCTATTTGAGCAATACTAAACTTTTAAATAGAATTCCTCTTGTTATTACATATCACAATGATTGGGCTTTGTTATCATTTCTAGTATACTTGAAAATGTCTTGTGTTCACTTGATACAAGCTCATGCTGTTCTATTCGTAAAGGAAACCTAATCATCCCAGTTAGTTCACTAAACTATATTTAGCTCAAGTAAAAATCCCTGTAGAAGTTATATTAATTAATAGTTATATCATCATAGTTACCATGGGAACACTACTATCATCATAGTTATAAATATAATTACAGTTTTCTTAGCTTCACTGAAAACAATAACAGCAATATAGTTGCTGAGCTATGCTCTAAGTAGTGTTCCCATGATACAGTGGTCTAAAGAAAAATGTTGTTGCTTTAAATGAGCAGTGTTATTTCTAAATATATTTGTTTTAAATTAATACTTTCTATAAATGCGTCATCTGGCTTAGTGTTAATATAATTCCTTTTGTTACAAGGAAACATGTATGTATTTATCAGTACATTATCGAACATATCAGCTATACAAAGAGAACAATACTGCCTAATCGAAATTATTTTGTTTGTTGTTAAGCGCAAGCTACACAATCGGCTATCTGTGCTGTGCCAACCAGGGGTATCGAAACCCGGCTTTTAGCGCTATAAGCCTCAGCCCTACCACTGAACAATTGAAATGGGTAAACATTTTCAATGTATTATTGAAGTTATACAGAATGATTTATCTATACTTAGCTCATGATCATTTTAATAATTTCTTAAACACCACCCTTGCATTTGGAATTTGAAATTCAACATTTTTCTAGTATTTCAAATCTTAAAGGTTGTAAGCCTTTTATTCTGCCTTTTGTAGGAAATGATGCTATTTTCGCTCTAACAAATCAGAACAAATTACTTTTACGTATTGACCTAGAAGATTTTGAAGGAAACAAGCGTTTTGCTGAATATCTGGGATTTGTTGTCAGGAGTGAAATGGATAAGTACAACATGACCTTCGATTCATACAGAGGAGATGCAGGTAAGCTTAACTCGAACACGTAACTTTACTTTTGCTTTTTAACATTTCAAAGAATCTGACAATTGTTTTTTTTCTAATGCGTGGGAACAATCCCAATTTATATTTAAAGGCAATCATTATTCATGGTCCATTCACATTCTTCAAGGTGTTATTCTCTGTATCGCCCTCTTTTTATTGCAACGTTCGTCCTAGTTCCCGTTCTTTGTTACCTAATCCATTTTATTTCTCATCCATTAACAAATTTTTCTCGTATTTTCTATATACAAACTACTTCATTTTTACTATATATTCGCTATTTTTCTCTAAGTTCTATATATTAACCTATTTTATTATTACTATCTATTCGCTAAGCTTCTCTGAGTTCTAGATATAACCTACTTCATTTTTACTATGTATTCGCTAATCTTCTCTGAGTTCTCTCTCTATATGTATAACCACTTTATTTTCTCTACCTATTCGGTATTCTTCACTGAGTTCTATATATAACCTACTTTATTTCTTCTGTCTATTCGTTAATTTTCTTTGAGTTCTATATATAACCTATTTTATTTTTACTGTCTATTCGTTAATCTTCTTTGAGTTCTATATATAACCTACTTTATTTTTACTATCTATTCGCTAATCTTCTCTGAGTTCTATATAATAACCTACTATATTTTTACTATCTATTCGCTAATCTTCTCTGAGTTCTATATATAAACTACTATATTTTTACTATCTATCCGCTAAACTTCTTTGTGTTCTCTATGTATTACACTTTCTTAACTTACGTCCATACATTTATTAACAAGTATTTCACGTATTCTCTATCTAATTACTTCTATCCATTTATTGCAAACTCTGATTTTTAATTTTGTTATCAATAAAACATTTACTTTATTCAATTTCCGGTTCTTCCAATGTTACCCAGGTGGCTCAGGGGTAAGTCCGAGGGCTGAAAACACTAAAATCAAATTTTGATACCCTCGGTGGGAAGAGAACAGATAACACTTTGTGTAACTTTGCGCTTAACAACACACAAACAAAAATCTTCCAATATACGTAATTCTTACATACTCACTTTTTATCTGTATGTTTCTTGGTATATGTTAATCTCTTTTTTCACTTTCACGTTCTTTATTTTTGTATTGTTCTTTGAGAAGTTCATATTATTTTAATGTTAATTTATGCTTTTTTCGGAGTTGTTTTCATTGACCTTAATTTCACATATCTTGCACATCAAATTGTTTTTCTTCGGTAATGTCTATCTGTTATACTGGTTTCTATATGCTATATATTTTACTTACCTTTTTTTTCGCACTCTTTTTTTTTAATTCTATCTTTATAATTCACAATACATTTGTACAGTTAAACTCTAATTAATCTTTTTATTTTCACTATACGTCAATTTTAAAACTTATCTTTCGTCTACTAATATTATTCGGGTGTTATTTTTCATATGTCATTCATTTGCAATTGCCCCTCAGTGGCACAGCGATATGTCTGCGGACTTACAACGCTAGAATCCGGGTTTCGATACTAGTGGTGCGGAGAGCACAGATAGCCCATTGTGTATCTTCGCGTTTAACTACAAATAAACCATTTGCAAATGTTCTAACACTTTGATGTATTCAATACTCATCATCGATATATTTCCAATCAGTTTAATTTTGGCTATTAAACTTCTATGGTTACGAATTTCTACTTAAAATAACATTAGTGTAATGAAATATTGAAAAAAAATCGGAATTTTTTAAAAAGAAATCTTGATAATTTTATTGGTATGCACAGGAATATCAGGAACATTACTTATTTTTCTATTGAAATAACTTAATTGAGCTTTTCTTTCAGGAGATGGTATGGCTACAAGTAACGGGATGCCATTTACAACCAAGGACAGAGATAACGACAAATGGATAAAAAACTGTGCAGAGACTTACAAAGGAGCATGGTGGTACAGTGCTTGCCATGATGCTAATCTCAACGGTCTATATCTTCGAGGAAAATACAAAGAACACGCCGTGGGCGTTAATTGGAAGTTCTGGAAAGGATATGAATATTCCCTCAAAGTGACCGAGATGAAGTTGAGACCGGTTGGCTTTGTGCCAAGTTCGGAAGCCCCTAAGTAAATGTACACAAAATATGATAATATGCATACGCTTCAAGCTTTGCAAGATAAATGAAATTATCTATCAGCTAATAAGACATGATTAATTTTTTCTAATTTTCTAAAGATAAACTAAATGAGTCATACAGAAGAAAATTATGTCTATAAAGCAATCAACATACTATTAATGATTATAGAATTTAGTTCTCAAAATAAGATTACGAAGAACTCAAGTATGGAAAAAATTATGCTTAGCCGTTGGATATAATGTGTGAACCTTTTTAGGGTAATTCTGAATTGATAGAAATATAAATGTGTATTATATACCAGCTTTGAAATATACTTATAAACGGTATTACATAACAGTGTTAACGTGTCGTCTAAAACAAGAAACAATATATATTTTTTAAATTTCAACTTAACATTGCTGTAAACAAACACGAAGAAAAAAGATAACATCTGTAACATTGTTTAGAAATGCAATATTACTGTAAGATTATTCATTTAGTTTATGGAACAAACACCTCGATTAAAAAGCTATTAAATTGAAGGCATAATACCATTTGCAAAAGATAAATGGCCTTGGGAATGAGCTAATTCCTATCCTAAATGTCATTAGATATTTAATTTTTTTATATTCATAGTATTTAAATTTCAATCCTTTTCCCCGACTTTCAATAGTTCTTACAAGCTTAGTAAAAATAAAAACATAAAAGATTAGAACTAAATTATAGAGAAACTGGTGTTTGGCAGAGGGATTTACTGATGAAGTACATAACTTGTGTATGTCAACTAACACAGACCTTAATCACTCCATATACGACATATTATGCTCAGGTTTTCAGCAGCAGACTCAAACATGTGGTCAAACATCAAACCATTGTCGACAGAGATCGGGCAACTTTCCAGTTGCAATTTCTTTATTGTCAGCTTCATTAGCCTCTCGAAAGTGGTGATTATGTTACACTGGCTGATTGATATGTTGCAAACTAATATAAACCATTTGAGTACTGAATGCAGTGTTGGGTCTCCTCTCATCATCCAGTTTGACTTTCCAGTATCCTGATGCCAAGCCTAAAGTGATAAACCAACAGGTACCTTCCAAACCATCCAGACATTAATCTATCTACAGAATTGGAAAGGGATTAACATGGATTACTGAATTCACCTGGCTGAAGTCAATACAGGACTTGGCATACTATCCTCTTTTATTTGACAATCACTACTGGAGAAGACAATGCACCCTGTGAAGGCTGTAAGCTTTTAAAATCCGCTTTACATCGGTGCTAAATACATTCTTAGTGATCTAAGAAAGTCTGCATCTATATGATGCTGTGTGACTGATGAATTACCCAAATGGCTATCTGGTCCCATAAAAACATTGGCTTATTCAGTTAACAAGTTTTGAGTTGCTACCACTGTGTTGAGTCTAGGTGGCCTGAGCAATCCTCAGCTATCAATTTCAGACATGTTGGTAACTATTTACTTACTCCCAGATGCAGCCTTAGCATCACCACTAGCTTCAATTAGTTCCACTTTGCTTACCATGCCAATAACCATTCCACTGTGAAGCTAGATAATTGATCATCAATAACTGCAGAACAATATCAGGACTTCAAGAACACCCTCGAGTAGTTAATTCTGCTTGCTTTCCAGAGAGAAAGCAGTTTATTTCATGCATGGAGCTGTAGCAGCATTCTTTGCCACCTTTAGTTCGTTGTCCTGCATTTACTGAGCCGTTGGTCGAAACAGATAGCCTTGTCTACCTTATTGCTCAGTAAGATATGAGCAGTGCATTTAAAAGTAATCTAACACTACGCAGACAAAGTAAATACTTTGCATCTCTCTTCCAGGATGAAGTGAAAGCATCACCAGCATAGACTGTGACATACAAACTATAGTCAAACTAAGATAGGCATTTCCATTCATTGAACAGCATGGTTGTGTCACACCCCAATGACGTGTGAGTGATTTATTAACTGTCGGCTGGGCTTGAGCTTGGCATGATGTAGTTGTCTGGGTAAGACAGTCTGTTTGAGTTATACTCACTGTAGCTATTACTGCAGAATTTTTCCTCTCTTGCAACCAGTTTGAAGCTACTATTTTGTGTCACACTGCAACATAACTTCTTCATTAAAGGTGAGAATATCTTTCACACCCAGGTGGTACCTCATAATTTCACTGAACATCATTTCCAGAAACTTCTAAATGAGAATACTCTCATAATCCACTGAAGTCATTGCAAGGTAAACCCTACCCTGCAAATGGCACAGGTCATCCACATAGGTTGTCAAACTATCTGTGATACCCCTCTTCTAAAAACTGGCTAAATTTTTACATGGGGTTGAACATTTGGTGTGACTCAGCAACAACTGTCTTGTTCCAAAGTTGCTCCTCTTGAAATGCTTGATGGAATCTAGGATCAAACCATCTGGACCAAAGATCACGTACTGTACAGCCTGCTCTTATAACCATTTGTTCCAAGAGTCACGTGCCTCAAATAATTTAGTAAATGGTCCAAATCTTCTGTTTTACCTTGTTCAAGGAACCCGTGGTCATGGTTACAGCCATTCCCTCACAACTTTTAGCCATCACTTGACCAAAGTTTCCTCAACTGAACAGGTACAGCATGATCAATATATTTAGGGTTTTGAACTCTAGTATAAACAGTTGATCCCAGGTTCAGGAAGCAGAGCAATAAGATGCCATCAGCAGCACATCCATTGGCTTTATGCAACCACAGCTCTTCCATAAGCCAGGGTTACTTTGGTAGTATACCTCTGAGCTCAGAGCAACCCACCACTGACCCATGGTTCACCTTCTGATGCCTGCTGTATCACCTGTCAGTGAAGTAGCTCCTGCTGGAGGATGTCATCCACCAACGTGACTTCCATTTTCTCCTTACAATCCTTGAGTGGCTTCGACCAGAGCTGAGTCTGTGTTACTCTAGCTGGTGAACGTTTATGGGTATTATACAAACTACCCCCAGTCAGTGTCAGACCTGTTAGATGTAACAGCAATGTGATGATTCTCAATCACCCTTCTTCCATTGTACTGGGGTTGATCATCAGAGAAAGAGCATGAATCATCATAATCATCCTGAGTACACCAGAAATCGACAGCTCATCTTCCTGGGTCTTTGGCATTGATAACATAAGAGCCATGGACCTTTGCAACATTGACAAAAGTCCAATGACCAGTAGAAGACTTTTCTTAGATTCGTGAACCTTTTTGTATAACCATTCTTTATCAGTGATTGACTCTTCCTCTTGGTCATAAATTATTTTAGTTGTGGAAAATGCCCTTTTCAATAACATGAAGCCTCTTTAGTCTTCAATAAACACAAATGTAGGAGTAAACGGCAATACAAACATCAGCCTAAAACAGAAACAGAAAATATATTATCATGTGGCCATATCACAAAAATTTTCTTCTACCTATCCACTCTGTGGTATATTCAAGTGAGACTGATTATTCCTAGAGTAATCGGATAGATCCACTGAAAAAGAAGAGGTCCAACAAGTTATCTATTAATACTATGTAATGCTGAGCTTCTCTGAGTCCCTGAGACCATAAGAAAGAAAGAGACTGGACACAGTCTAAAATGCAGAAGCACAATCTGCATTATCATAGAAAACCGAAACATAGTGTGTGTGTGTGTACTTAGATGATGGACTGCCATTTTACTGGATTGGAACTTTTATCTCTCTTGATTTCACAGAGATCGTCTACTAGACTGTTTAAATTCAATGTTCCTTAATTCACAGGTAACATTAGACTTACCCAGAGCAACTAGTACTATCCACGTGATTGGTCATTCTCATTCAAATATAGGGTAGGGTATAATTTTCAGAAAACACTTGACTCACCAAGCCACAATTCACCATGATCAGCTACAGTCTCCATGCTTGCTACACACTGAGGTTCATCATCAGGGAAGAACTCAATCAACCATTCTGGATGTGCCAGATTCTTCCACGTTTTTTCCAGTTCTGTGGTCATAATAAGAAAGAAGCACTGACAAAAGTCTAATGTCCAGACAAGGACTTCTCTGAAACCTGAAAGTTCTCTCTTCCCTCACTGACCAACTCTTCTTCCTAGTTATAAGTCTTTCAACTTATGAAACATGTTATTTCATAAAGTCTTAAGCTTAATAACAGAAATCCTAGAAAAAACACAAAAATACATTTGCCAAAACAAAAACAAAAACTGTATGAAAACAAATTCTGTGGCACCAAACTTTTCTCCTTTCTACCTAATCTCTGGTATTCTCAGGTGTATTGATTTCCCTTAATAGTAAGCGGGTAGGTTCTGCAGAATAAAAGGAGGTTCAAAAGAAAATGTTTTGCATAAGTAAATCTACATTTAGAATTACTCTAAATTCTCTGACTTTGATTGAGTTTATCAAAAAAAGAGAATAATCACAGAAAATCAAGTGAAACTGTCTTTCAAACACAACCAAAATACAAGACAGTGTTTGAGAGCTCTCAGAAATACCTGCTAGAAGTCAGTGAAAAGTTTGTTTCAGATTAAAAAAAACCTAGCATTATATATACTCAGAACGATAATCATATTAGTTTGCAGGATGCTTGTCTTTTTCACATCACTGTTGGTCACTACCATCAACAAATAAGGTACATTGTACACTCAAAGTATCACCTGATCTACTAGTGAAAGAAACCAAAAGAAACTTCTCAAAAATCTTTCTTACAAGAAATCACACATGATATCCTAAGTGAATGACCCGTTTGGTAGGTAAATAGAGTGAAATTAATGTACTTAGCTACTTCCTTAATCAATGCTATATAGTTAAAATTAAATACACTTATATACACAAAAATTGTGAACTCTTTATGCCCAACAACTGGGAGAAACATGTAGTATACATGCTATGGTACAGCACTATACCATATGTTAGAGCCCCCGCCCCTCTCCAATTAATACAAAAATATTTTGAAGGTTCTGTATTATATTTTATTTCAGCTAAGATTTAGAAAGTCACTCAAGTAACCAGCTCAACTTTAAATTCTTTGATGCACACAATACATGGTTTCACTAACTAGCAATTAGTCATCTATTCTTACATAAAATAAAGCTTGATATTTCCAGATAGATGTTTGTCTTTTCTTTTGTTCTTTTGGCAAATCAGACAATGACCAGTTTAAGCCATGTCTTGTGCTCAGATCACAGTGGACGTAGGTCACACATGTAAGCTGCATGCATATGCAAATTTGGCTTTGTTGATGTTATTTTTTGGTATTTAAAGCCTGATTTGCCCCTGTTAGAGTACTTTTTGTAGCTTTAACACACTTTAGAAACATTTA